GCATATGAATTGACAAAATTATCTTTATTACCTTAACAAATTTCAAGCAAAACACTATAGAGGAGAAAATTTTTGAACAAAATAAGTAAATCTTAAATTATAATCAATTTGGTAGAAAATTCAATATAAGACAATACAAAAGGATAGAATTGGGAGAAAAAATATTTGTCTCACTAAATGATTATTATAATAATATTTTAATGATACAATGGAGGGATTGTTTCAAAAGGTATGACTTTAGTAGAGACTGGTGATATTCTTAAAACTTTAGAGGTGCTAAGTGTTATTGACATAAAGCTCATGAGAGGTTTCTAAAATTATTTCTAGCCAAAAGAGCGGAGAATATACCATTTTCCAAGTTCAACAGGCAAAAGTATGTACTTAATATTTGGAGGGCTAAAAGTTGACTAATTTAATAGTTTGAGTGCTATATAGATTTTTTGCTTTATGAAATACATACATACATACATACATATATATATATATATATTAACATTTGGAGCAAAAAGCCAATTTGGCCCTCAAATTTTAACCATTTATATTTTTAACCCTCTAACTATTAGTTGTATTTTTTGGTTCTTAAATTATTAAAACCGTGTAGTTGTAGCCCTTCTGTTAGCTTGAGACAGTATTAAAATTGACAGAAAGAGCGTCAAACGCGATCCACGAATGAAAGTGGAAAGCTTTTATTATCAGAATAGCATAGGGAGTACACCAAATTTAGAGTTTTTAATTCAACACAAATTAGGACAAATAAGTCATGCATTCAGCCTCTTCATGACATGAAGAATTTATTGGTATAAAATATATAAAATTCAACATATGCTGGGTCTTGGAGTAATCGAAAAAGGTTGCAATAGTGCAAAGTTGAATCGTGAAAATTTGGAGCATTTCAGGTCAAATTCTTTCTTTGAACGCTCCATACTAAGAAATATTTTGGCATAAAATTTAAAAGATTGAATGAATATTTGTAAAGTAGTGATAAAATTACAATCTTTGACCTCAGATATAGAGTATTATCTAGTAAAATTCATTGAAAATGAGCCCAAATTTGGAATATATGCGAAAGATGAAATCTAGGGTATAATTTCATCTAAATTTGACAATAATAAAGTGATGGTCAATCCGATCATTTACTCGACAATAAATAGTTGTAGCAGTCATCAAATCTATTTTAAGGAAAAAAAAAGATCAAAACGATATTATTTTGAGTTACCTTCCGTTTAAGTTAAGAATTAGAGTTAACTATTTAGATTGACAGAGGGATTATTTATGCACGCACGCTTTTAACAGTTCAAAGGCTAAAATGATACAAATAATAGTTAGAAGATTAAAAGTAGGACGTCAAGGCTTGAGAGTCAAATGGGCTCTTTGCCCTAACAGTTGTTTTCTTATTTGATCCAAAACATGAACCAAACAACCAGAGGCCTCTGGAAATAGCAAGGGCCACAGCATCACAGTCGCAGCCCGTCCACAGTCCATCCATGTTTGTGTATCCAAACTCGTTTCTCAATTAGTAATGGCTGGACTGGACTATGCTTCCGTGCGATATTTACACATTATTGATTTGATTTGATCGAGGGCCAGTAACATATGTGGTAAACTAATATAGCAGGCTCATTGCTCAGTACTTGAGTGGGTGCAAATTGTCCAGCCGGCCCCATGGCCCAATTCAAACCAACAATGCCGTCATCTCCGACAGCGATTCTAAGTTTGAAATTCTCCCAACGAGAACGTGAAAATGACAAATTCCTTCATGAAAGCACAATCAATTACTACCAAACCTTGTTTCTCCATTTTCTTTTTTCCTGATTTGTGTTTCTGCTTTCTAGTTGACTTCTTTCATTGGCCGGTTTACATGACTACGACCTGTTTTTTTTTTTTTTGGCTCAAAATCTACTACCTAGTTCAAGGTTTAGTTACCTGATTTCCAAACCACTCTTAACTAAATGTACTTTTCTTTTTGGTGGATGCTAAATTGGTAGTAGTACTTGGACCATCAAAGAATTTGGCGCATCCTAAGAGATATTCTCTCCATCCTCCAAAAAATTTTTTGTTTTCTTGAGACTAGTTTTGTAAATGTAATGTAGGAGGTTAGGTGTTTGAATACTGACATTCCTTTTCCTAATTTCCCAAATACCCCAAAAAAAAAAAACTGCTATTAGCTACTTACTATTAAACGATGCAATTTGTTTTACCTTTTTAAGTAGTGGTATGTATTAGCTACTTGTTTTGAAGTTTTGCTTCTTATTGAGAAACTATGTATAGTTTTGAGATGCAGGAAAAACCTGTAGGTCCTTGCACCATATATCTAGTCTTACAATTCTGAGTTATCACTGTTAACAATTCTAGATCATCAACATTTGCATAATGAGGCTCGCTTAGGTAATACACCTAAATAACTGTTTTGCATGGCTAGAAACCTTGAGGTACCCAGTCCATTTGCTATTTCAAGACACACTGCTGGCACAGTGGTCTTTCTTTCTGCAACATTCAACCTTCTTCCATCTTAAATCTGATCATTGAGTATAGTCAGTCGGGTCCATCCTAATATGATTAGATTTTGAAGAATCTAAATATTTTGTACTTGCATGTAGGCTTATGAATGCATGGAAGTTTTGATCCCAATCTTAGTTAATTGTGAGGGCAACTGTGAATTTTTCTTGGTTGAGGAACTAGAATGAATATACCCATTCCGGACTGTACAACTCCTCTGTTTTTATTTTTATATTTTAAATCTGTTCATACAATCAACCATGGAAAAAATTGCAAGCTGGGTAGAAGCAAGAGTTGGGGATTGGGGCATACAACCTGTATAAGGGTCACTTTTTTGAAGAAATTATAATGCCATGAAGTTTGAGTTTGACAATGGCATATTAGTTTCTAAAAAGCAAAAGAAACAATGGCATAATTTCCAGTTCTTGACGATGGCATATGGTGAATATTCTAGAAACCAACTTAACCTCTAGGACTTCTTAGCATATGGAGAATATGCTAGAAACGAACTTAACCTCTTGGACTTCTTAGCATTCTATTCATTTTCAGTCTCACTTGCGTAGTTAGCCTTTTAGTTCTGCCACCTAGTTAAATTATTGCAGAATGCCTTGCTTTATGTTACCTTAGCAACAGGGGTTAAAATGATCTTGGTACATCATGGACGCCAGTCCAATCCAAAATTCTTGAACCAAATTGAAGAATTTATTTCTTATAGCTGTCATGAATTTTCTGGTGTTTGAAGCAAGTGATTGTAAATTGTATGCTTAAAGTGTTTGATTTTTCCTTATAATGGAATTTATGGTTGGATAAGCATCTAGAAACATATTAACTTGATCAGAAATTTCATAAGGCTTGTAGGTGGAAGTTTATGTTGGTTTTTGAGATAATTGAGCTGATCACTTCCTGTACATATCTCAGGAAATTGATCAAGGTTGTGTTGTTTTGTGTACATCAATGTTTGAACAGAACTTATAACAGGTTCCATATACAGCTTGACTCGCTTTGGTTAAGACTCTGCTTAGCAAGTTGTCATATCCATATTGTTGGAGATGGAGGAGCTACGGCAACTCTCCCAAGCATTTATATCAACTAGTAATAGTTCACGTGCTTTGCACGTGATTGTAATATTTTAAAATATATTATTTTTCAGATACTAAAAATTTTTTATGAAATTTTGATCATCAACATCATAATATAGTATTTTTATGTTATTTATTTTTTTAAGCTAGTTACTTTTAAAAATTTTATTAAATGCAAAGAGACAGAAAACATTCCAATGTAGTTGGCATATCCCTTAAGATTGAATTTGAAATCATGAACGAAACACTTTTTGATTTATAGCTTGAATTCTAACATATCAAATATTGATAATATCATGTTTTACCAAAAGTATTGTATATACATGACTCTATTGCATATAAACCACAATCATCAAAATTTTTATAAACGAAGAATATAATTAAGTTAGAAAAATAAACATACATGTAATTTGAATTCTTTGTATTATGTTAATTCTATTTTTGTCAATAATGGAGTATAAATGATCCACCACGTAAAGTTTTTTTGGCTTGTACATTCTAACAATTAAAATTTTATAGATAGAGATAGTTGGAGTTTTTCTATTTACCTTTTCTTTTATTCATGTTTTTAGCACAATCCAATGCGAAGTTAGTGATATTTTTAACATTTCAAGAATGTTAAGTGATATTAGACAAACCCTCAAGGGAGGTTTCCAAGAATGAATTTTTTTTTTTTTTCTGAGTTTCTTTTTTTTCTGGGATTTTTTGTTTTCTGAATTGAAATGGCTTTTCTGATTTGGCAATTTATTGAGCGTTCTTGTTCTTTCGTTTTGTCTCTTATTTGCTTGCCATGCCTAGTCTTCAATGATGGTGTCATTTGTTGATGCATTTGGTCTCGTGTTTGAGTTGTAAATTCGCGTGATTAGATAGATATTTTTTGGAGTGATATTTAAGCAAGAAAGTGTAAATTCCTGTGATTTTATGGATGTATACAAGGCGTTTGTGAAAATTCCTGAACAGAAGTTGCTAACTTCTGCAATATATGAGGCGTCCTCCTGCCTCAAAGATGATGAATTAAGTGAAGTTGTGGATATAATATGAAATGCACCGCTCTGGATATAATTTGTTTCAGCTTGATTTAATAATGATATACACACAAGAACAATAAGCTGACTCGTATTACCCCAAAAAATTTTCGTCATAATCCACTTGATTATAGGAAGAAACAATAGGAACCCAATAGTACATGATAGAGTTCCAAAAATGCAGCGCCACGAATAGAAACAGCAACAGCAGCCAAGCTGCTCCTCCCACATGATTTTGCTTTCCTTTACGCATCCCTATGTGATTCTCATATCAGCTCAACAGGTTTAAACTGCCTTTTAGAAGATATTTCAGGGTCAAGAACTTGGTAAACTGCCTATTTCTTTACATCTTTATTAGCACTGATAAACAAACACTATATTGAGATTCCTTTCCTACGCTATGACAATAAACTGCTCCCTGGGGCAAGATAAATATTCATCTTGCACTTCCTTTGGTCTAAAAAGCAAGGTTCGTCAACTGGCTTCAAGTAGACATACTGAAATATTAGCAAATTCTGCCATCTGTGTCTTGAACACTGTCTTTGGCTTTACCATTTGCTATGACAGGCAAATTCTTCAGTTCTTCAGAGAGCACGAATGTTCCCTTTCTTGATTTTTTCCTGTTATCTTTTCCATGAACAAGTGATACTAAATTTCTGAATATGGATTTTGTTGTAGATAAACTGTAATTCGTTGTACCTTTCTTATGTTGCTGCAATGGATTCCAGTTACCTGAAAAATGTGTAATCTGATAATTGTACATGTCATTTTGCAGGCACTGGATGCCTTTAATACAGCTGTGGTGTCCCCAGTATACTATGTTATGTTTACATCCCTCACCATCCTAGCTAGCATTATAATGTTTAAGGTACTTTCATTTGGCTTTTATTATTAGCTTTTTCCTTTCGTGTATATATATATATATATTTTAGTGTTGTGGATTGGGAGGAGGAGGGACGAATCAGAGCAACAAAAGGCTGACTTTCAAACTTTTCATGCAGGACTGGGACAGTCAAAATGCATCGCAAATTGTCTCTGAAGTATGTGGCTTTGTGACTATCCTGTCTGGAACATTCCTTCTCCACAAGACCAAGGACATGGGAGGTGTAAGCAGCACTAGTAACACGCCCGTGCCATCTCCTGTATTCCTGGCATCATGCCAGAATTCTGCGGTCTGAGCTTTGAGATGAGATCGCATTCTGCGGTCTGCGGTCTGAATGCGAGGTAACTGACCTCGCATTTAAGAGATGCGAGGTAACTGACCTCGCATTTCATAAATGCAAGGTCTGGTTTTCTTTTTTCTTTTTTTTTTGGATTTCGTTGGAGGAAAATTCAAGAGACTTCGCATTCAGCAAATGCGAGTTGAGGGAGCTCGCATTTGCTGAATGCGAAGATCCCTTGGACGGAATCCCACACTCAAAATGCTCCCTTAGTAGAATTTTTTTAAAATTCATCATAATTTTAGAAATTTCTCCACTTGCATGGCTTCCCTTAGGGACTCCCCAAAGAACAGGATTGTAACTTTTCCTTGAAAATAAAAAATAAAAAAAATCCACCAAAAAATTGTTAGAAATCTGCAAGAAAGGTGTAACAAAAATATCAGGTCTTAGTTGAATTCACATGCAAAGCCAGCATCTTACCCCCAATTGAAAATGAGCCCAAATTTGGAATATATGCGAAAGATGAAATCTAGGGGTATAATTTCATCTAAATTTGACAATAATAAAGTGATGGTCAATCCGATCATTGACTCGACAATAAATAGTTGTAGCAGTCATCAAATCTATTTTAAGGAAAAAAAAAGATCAAAACGATATTATTTTGAGTTACCTTCCGTTTAAGTTAAGAATTAGAGTTAACTATTTAGATTGACAGATGGATTATTTATGCGTGCACGCTTCTAACAGTTCAAAGGCTAAAATGATACAAATAATAGTTAGAAGATTAAAAGTAGGACGTCAAGGCTTGAGAGTCAAACGGGCTTTCTGCCCTAACACTTGCTTTCTTATTTGATCCAAAACATGAACCAAACAACCATAGGCCTCTGGAAATAGCAAGGGCCACAGCATCACAGTCGCAGCCAGTCCACAGTCCATCCATGTATGTGTATCCAAAGTCGTTTCTCAATTAGAAATGGCTGGACTGGACTATGCTTCCGTGCGATATTTTGGTGGAGAGACGAGGGACACACATTATTGATTTGATTTGATTTGATCGAGGGACAACAACATATGTGGTAAACTAATATAGCAGGCTCATTGCTCAGTACTTGAGTGGGTGCAAATTGTCCAGCCGGCCCATGGCCCAATTCAACCAACAATGCCGTCATCTCCTACAGCGATTCTAAGTTTGAAATTCTCCCAACGAGAACGTGAAAATGACAAATTCCTTCATGAAAGCACAATCAATTACTACCAAACCTTCTTGTTTCTCCATTTTCTTTTTTCCTGATTTGTGTTTCTGCTTTCTAGTTGACTTCTTTCATTGGCCGGTTTACATGACTACGACCTGTTTTTTTTTTTTTTTTTGGCTCAAAATCTACTAGCTAGTTCAAGGTTTAGTTACCTGATTTCCAAACCACTCTTAACTAAATGTACTTTTCTTTTTGGTGGATGCTAAATTGGTAGTAGTACTTGGACCATCAAAGAATTTGGCGCATCCTAAGAGATATTCTCTCCATCCTCCAAAAAATTTTTTTTTTTCTTGAGACTAGTTTTGTAAATGTAATGTAGGAGGTTAGGTGTTTGAATACTGACATTCCTTTTCCTAATTTCCCAAATACCCCAAAAAAAAAAAAAACAACAGTGAATCAGTGGAAAAAGTTGGTCACAGAATTTTTATATGATGAAATCTCCCCCCCCCCCTCCTAAATTATGGTCATATCTTGCATTGCCTCCTCAAAATTATCGATTATTAGTACATCAAATTGTCCTTAAAATTTATGATTTCTCAAATTCTTAGTGGCACTGATCAGAAGGGTTAAAAGATAGATTCACTATCTACCGATTCAAGAAATTTATTGATAACAAATTTAAAGTCACCATTGAGGCATTACAACAGGTACAAAAGGTAAATGACTTGCATTTAAACTTAAGCACAAAAATGGATTCTACATGTGCATAACAGCTTAGGCTGATTAATTCCATTGAGTACCTGAGTTTGACCTAATAGTATATGTATCATTAGACATAATTAATAGTTAATGGGAGAAATGTGAGACTAGGCCGGAGTCAAGCTGCATGTACCCTCTTCTTTCTATTTTTTTTCCCCTCTTTTGACTATCTGCATCTCTTCACTCTCTTTATCTGATGGTGAAAGGGGTCTAATTGGATGCCATTTGAATGGCAGACACAGACCATGCATGGTAGGTGCACTCCATGGAAAGTAATAGGATCATTTGGAATCTTTGGTTGCTTGTTTAGGTCGTATTTACCAAATCAATTTACTTTTGAGGTTAGCACCAGTGACCTAGAGACAAAAGCAATTAAGAATAGCATATATACATATAAGCAGCACAACTTTACTTCCATTAATAAAATCATCTTGTTAATCATGACTGCAGGTCCACTGCAACATAATCTATCAAGAGATACACTGCCATATCCTCATGTAAAAGCAAAAAGATATAGTATGCATATAGAATTCCCCACCCTTTTGGAGAATTTGGAGACCCCAGTTCATAATCTAGGGGGAAAATATCTAAACTAGAGTAGTGGCTGCTATAGGCTATAGTAGGATTAAAAAAAAAAAACCCAAAAAGGAAAAAATGATCAAGTCTCCATCAAAAACAAAAGGATGAAAAAGAGGACTTGATTAAGCCAAGTCCCATCAATTTTCTCTCCTGATTAAGTTAGGATCCTTAGTATCTAAGACAAACCACTAATATACAAGCTTTCAATTAGGCATAATAGCCATCCAATTCATGCTGTTACTTTTCATGCTTTGACAGTATGAAAAGGATGGATAAGGCAACTAATTATGATGAGCAGCACTAGCTAGATGTTGGTCAATGATGATTGGTGAACAACTCTTTGATACTTGGAATTGGGTGGTGAAGAATCACAGCATTGATCACCGTTGACAAGCACTCTTTTCTTACTCAAACCACCACCACCTCCACCAGTACAAGTACTGAGACAGGAGTCCTGGTGTAGAAGCATTGGCCTGGGAGAAGAAGAAATGGTCACCGGAGGAATGTCAATTGTGCTGAGTTGTGGGGGTGGGTGCTGCCACTGAGGAAGTGGTCCGGCCAAAAGAAGTGTTTTTAGAAGCGGCCCGGCTTCCATTACTGCCTCCAAGAACTTCCCTTTCTCCGGCAATGGCTTTTTGGGAACAATTCTATCGGTCACGTCTGCGAAAGCTGGAGGTGGTGATACAGGCTGCAGGGGAAGCAATACTGCAGAGTCCTTACCTGCAGGGGATGCAATGACGTTTTCATCACAATCAGAAGAGGAAAGTCCTGCATAGGAATCTGATCCCCTTCTTGGTTCAAAATCTTCATTGCTAGTAGTTCCACTTGAGGGTGCAGCAGCAGCTGGTTCGACGTGTGTTTGTTTCAACTGTTGCTGCTGAAGCAGAAGTTTTTCCAGCATAAGTCTTTGGCATTTTGCTATGGCTTCATCTCTCTCTCTAGTGATTTTCGTCAAGAGAGATTTGAGGTGCACAAGTTCATCATCTTTTCTAGCAAGCTCCTCGCGAGCCGAAAGAACTGTGGCTTCCAATTCCAGAGTAGTGTAAAGGAGAGAATGCTTCAACTCATCAATTCCCTGCTGTCAATCAAGACAATGCACATTATAAATCAATGAAGTGAGACAGACAAAAAAAAAAAAAAACAATTAAAGAGTAAATGGCCGAAAGGGATGTTTCAATTTACCTCTTCTTGATAGTAGAAAGCCCAATTAAGAGGACTACATTGATCTTCCATGCCTGCTTTTGCTTGTTTTGGTGGTTTCTGAACTAAGGATGGCACATAAAGAGAAGTGTGTATTGAGGGCTTTTCACTTCTTATAAGGCTTTATAAAGTAAGTGGAATAGTACTGTTTTTAATAGTATGATTTGGTTGCTTTTTTTCTCTTTTCCTCATGGGATATGGTTCGACAAAAACACAAAAGGCAAAAGCATGGAAAAGCCAAGATGTTTAGTGCATATCTTTAGAGTACTACTAGGTTCTTAGTACACGAGGAGGACCATATATAGGACTAAGAGTACCAGCAGTGCCCTTTATGAGGGTATGGCGGGAATGTGTGAATTGGGAGTATGAAAGATTGAAAACATATGGGAGGCTGAGGGTTGAAGTCTAAGTATACATAGCACACTCATAACGAAGACAATATTAGTAGTACAATTATTTCTCAATTACCATTAATTTTATGGGCCAACCTTCAAATAAGACAAGATAGTGAGACGTTATGAATGCTTTCACTCGTTTTTAGGACTAATTTTGGAGCCCAGCTCAAAGTATTTGTGTTGAAGGCGACTTGAGCGGTCTCATTGCTTGCACAAGAATTTATTGTATCCGTCAGTTTTGCTACTACTATTCATTTAGATTGAGTATTTCTTGAGGTTGAAGTGAAGCTATTAAGCGGTATGTCATTGAGCGCTTGGTTTTTAAAAACCAATACTGAAACCCTAAGGATTAAAAGTTCATGTTATGCTATATAGAATGAAAAAAAGAAAAGAAGTTCATGTTATTGAGTATTGAAAGAAGTTTCCATGATTACTAGTAAATGTTTTCACCGTCTCAAGTATAGTTGATATTTGAGAGAGTTGTTACGACTATGTGCATCTTTCATGATTTACTGAACACTTACAGATACGATTGTCTTTATTATACATTAAATTGGTTAACTCGAACAAAATTCACAAGTACAATAACATTATATGTGCATACATCATATTGTTTAAAAACTACAACAATTGTATCAAAATCTCAATTTTACCAACCCATAATAGTACGCATACATGTTCATTCATATTTCTTGGCTTAGGACAACTAATAAGCCATGCAACAAGTCAATCATGATATTGGCTAAAGTTTATCTCTTTTTTTTCTGCTTCCTTTTTTCAGGTTACCAACTTACCAATACCAAGTTGTGTGGCGAGTCACGGCGTGTGTGAAGCCTCAGTTCTTGTCGCACCATTAAATGTTAAACACTGTATATCCAACACGGCCGTCTGC